GGGGGCGGAGGAGGCGCCGGGGCAACGAGCCGGCCTGACTTCCCGTGTCTCGCTGCGTGCAGTTGTGTGTGTGAGTGTGTGTCGGTCTCGCTGTGGGTCTGTGTGTATGGGAGATTGAATGAACCTACAGGACAGACGGAGGCGCTCTGGCGCCTGGGTCCTAGCGCGAGCCTGTCGCCATCCGACCGGTCAAAATAAAAGGTGGAGACTAGCGAGACAGGGACCGCCCCCTGCCGGTCCGCGCGCTCGTCCCCGCCTGTCCCCAAATCTCTCCACAGTGTAAGGCACTGTATTTTAACCGAAATGGAAAAAGCACTCGATGTGCACCTGCGTAAACACAAACTACAGCTGTTTGTTTCCCTCAGAAAAATATCACCTCGAAAAGTGTCTAGCTCAACACTGGCACGTAGTAGGTCCCACATCAATAGCAGCTCCTGTTTTTTTATTTTTCTTTTTTTAATAAAAGCCCAATCTAAATGGGAAGAATTGAACTATCACATGTAACTGCAGCTCTTTCCCCCTCAACACAAACTCTCTCTCAAATACACACACACACACACACACACACACACACACACACACCAGACACCTGTGTGTGCCTTCACACAGCCAAGTGACATCCCCAGGCCACCCTTCTTAGGGTTACCTATTCACTCCTTCCATCTTTCTCTCTTCAGATGCAAAAGTATTGTCCACGAAGGAGGAGGAGATGTAAGCATCTCTGTCCACACTCCTCTTCCAGCCTTGGTCCAGCTGTGCAAAGATCACACTCGGGTGCCACACCTGGCTCCCTTTCATTTGACCGAGAACCACAAGTGTCAAGCCAAACACCACCTCCCCTCCCTTCGCCGAATTCCTCCGTTTGTCTGGGAAGGCCCCTACACACCGCGGACGGAATTTCACTGCTGCTGCTGTTGGCAACTCATGCTCTGCAGCCGGGGGAGGCATCAGGAGAGTCAGGATGAGTTGAGGGCTGCCATGAAGAACCACAGAGGATTCGAATTTCAGCTGTGCTGCACACTGATGCCAAAGCTCGGACGAGTCCTGTAACCTCTCTTGGCCAAGCTTCCACATCCTTGAAACCTCTGATAAGATGCTGTGTGGATTAAATGATATCTGCACTTACTACATTCTGTCCCACAGTAAGATCTTTTCTTTCCAATCCAGACCCAGGCAAGGGCCTGGGGCCCTCCTTGGATGTAACTTGCATCTGGGGGGGAAATCAAGATGCAGTGAACAAGACTCTTCTGCATGTCTTTGGAAAACATCTCCACAACAAGCCCTTCTAAAAACTGTCACCTTGCAAGGCCACCTAAACTTTTCCTCCAGGGGACCATTAACATGGCAGACATTGAGAATGCTGTCCCCTGGGGTCGTGCAGTGCCACTGCCCTACTCAGAGGCAGTCTCCTACTCATTTGCCACAGATTCTTACTGGAAATGGAAAGTTTTGGGGGAAAAAACTGTAATTTCAGTGTAAAATACTTCATAAAACTTGCAGAGTATGTATACACGTATAATCCCTCACAAAACCTTCAAAAGCCTTTCTGAACTTAAGAAAAAACAATAATAACCTGCTACTGATATGACAGGAACAACCTGTCGTCAGCATTTCTTAAAAATAATTATTTTGGGGATGGCAGGTGCCATGGTGGATGAGGGCACTGGACTGCCACATAGCTGACTGCGGTTCAAGTCCCAGAGTCGGTGGTTTGCTTTCTCAATCTCTCTCTCTCTCTCTCACTCACTCTGTCCCTCTCTGGTCAAATGAAAAACTGAAAAAATAAATAAATTTAAATAAAATAATTCTTTAAAAATTTTAAAAAGAATTATTTTATTTAACTTTATTTATTTGACCAGAGAGGGACAGAGTGAGAGAGAGAGAGAGAGAGCGAGCAAGCCGCCAGGTCAGGGATTTGTGGGAGTCCTGTGCCCTTAACCACCACTTCCCCTGCCAGCCCAGTAGTTAGCATTGTGAAGCCAACGTATTCACATGTTGGACCATAACATAACCATACTATGTATACCGTTTGGTCATTTTCCATCTTGTGACAAATTTCACATGGCTAAGCTCCATGTCCCTGGACTAGGGTAGAGTGGAAGCTTCTAAGAGCTATGTGATAAAGTTCATCTTCCCTTATCAGAACACTCATGAATTTTTTTGTCTGTCAGAACCACAGACTGAACTGTTTTGTTTGTTTGTTTGTTTGTTTGCTTTTTACCATAAGTGATTGCTTTCATCAGAGGCAGAGAGAGAGTGAGAAATCACCCTCCCAGGGTGAATGACCACATAGCATCTCCTACATTCTCCTGTCAGGATTTTGGGCATGCCCAGAGTGATTTTTTTTTTTTTTCTTTTTCTTTTCTTGGAGAGGTTTTTGCTATAGGGCACGTGCATTCACCAGAAAGACAGAGGGAGACAGAGAGACAAAAAGCGAGAAATCACCCCCAGGGGGAATGGCCATGCCGCAATCCCTTCTCCTCCATTCTCCTCCATTCTCCTCTGGGGATCTTGGACACACACACACACACTCACCTGACGTGAGTTTAAGCCGCTGGGTCCGGGACTCGAACTGCAGTTGACTACATAGGAGTCCAGCAACATAGCCATTATGCTAACTGCTGGTCCCCACAGAGTGTTTTTTTTTTTAGAGGTTTTTGCTATAGGGTGCATACGCTCACCAGACAGACAGAGACAGAGAGACTGAGAAATCCCCCCCCAGGGGGAATGGCCACGCCTCAATCCCTTCTCCTCCATTCTCCTGTTGGGATCTTGGGCACGCGTGCACACGCACCTCGTGTGAGTTTTAAGCCACCGGGTCTGGGACATGAACCGCGGTCGACTACGTGGGAGTCCAGCGACATTGCCATTACTCTAACTGCTGGTCCACTCCCCCCAGAGTGATTTTTAAGTCTCCAGATCTGACACTCAAACTGCAGTCAGCCAGGTGGGATCCAGCCGCCTTTACCTCCACACCACCTGCTGGCTTCAGAACTGTTTGTGTTTAAATGTTTATAAATATTTACAGACTTTAAGACGGGCCTTTGTGTACACACAGTGAGCTCTATCCAATACCATTTTGCAAAAACTGATGCTTGCAAGAAACAGTTCTGATCTCTCTTGCCCCAAAAGAAAGATGATACTGAGACAGTGAACCAGCCAAATCCAGAGAAAGCCCTGGTTTCTTTTTAATTCCCCGGTGGTGGCGTGGGTCAGATATACAGTCCTGCAACCCATATGTATGTATGTGTGTGAGTGTGTGTGTGTATGCATGTATAAATATATGCACGCACGTATATTTATACACACACACACACACACTCACACACTAAGAGAGGCACACCCTACACATGAGTGCTGGGGCAGGGGAAAGCTGTTTTATAATTATTTATTTATCCTTGTTCCATCTCTCATAGGTCTGTGAGCTTCAGAAAGCCCAGTGGGAATCTTCAAGCTGGGCCACAGATCTGACCAAAGCCAAAATAAACAATGGCTTGAAGAAAATCTACAAAAAAGTGCTGATTTGCACTATTCCCACAGTCGGCCATAGCCCCGCCATCATTCCCATGGAAAACACCACTGCTGGTGCCAAATCAAGTTTCCCCCCCATCATAGGGGCATTGTTTTTTGTTATTATGTGAGTTCTTAGTGTCAGACAATGGCACCACAAGAGACACAGTGGAAGCAGGAGAAATGCCTTTTTGTTTCACCAAGTCTGCACCATTGTGCCCCCGAGTCTTGCATATACTTTAGCTGGACATACTCATTTTGGTAAAGTGTATGTGGAATGATGAATATGCCAAGCTAAAACCCGAAGCCCTGGCCTTATTTATTTCAGAGCCCATCAAGTGTTAAATCATATTAGCATCGCATTGCTCTCTACCTCCTCCCCCTCTCCTCCCCAATTAACAGATTTCTCTAATAAAGTTGGCCCCAACAGAAAGAGTGGTGTTTCAGGGTTTATATCACAGGACAGGCATCCAGGATGCTGGGTTACAAGCTCAGCTCCATTCCCGATTAGCTTTGCTTCCCAGGAGGAGCCATTCAAACCCTCTGCAACCCCCCTTTCTCTGGGGCTTTAATTTCAGAAATAAACAGGCCTCTTTGGAAACTTGCTGAGAATTTCTGCAAAGAACAGGTAGGAGATGAGAATGCAGCCATTCTAAGAACGTGTACAAGCCCTTTGAAAGCAAAGCAGAAAATGCCCACTGAGGTCAGCTACAATGCTCCTGGAAGGCCCAGACGATTGTAGGTGCTCACTTAGCCTAAATCTGGTTTTCCCAACCTGTTTGGTTTGGTTTTTTTATTTTTTGGGGGGGGCCTTATTTGCATGTTTTATAATATTTTTTTCCATTGGCCTTGTTTGCATATTAAAGCAAGATTGTTCTCTCTTTTATTGGCCCCTGTTTTCCCCCCAGACATTCTATACTCTTACATCAAAGGAGTTGTTTTGCCTGTAATTACGTCTTTATGTACACAGAGGCTGGTTAATTACTGAGAAGACGATATAAGAGTTGCCAGAGAGACCTCCCCATCCTGCATCCGGATGGGATGCTCTTCCATCTGTCATGGACCATTTTGGCTCTCCTGGGCTCTTTAACCCTGCTCTTCTTCATTCATCCACTTTCCCCTCACTAGATTTTGCTGCCTAAGTTCATCCCCTCAGTCTTTAGCTTTTTCTGGAACATTTCAGAGTGCTCCAGTTAGGTTCTTCCCTGTCCTTTCCTTATGGTCTTTATACCCAGACTTAGTGAACACCATCAAGAGATCTTCTGTTGTCTGCACTGTCACTTGAGTCCTAATTCCCAGAGCTTGCTTTCTTTTTCTTTTTTTTAATTTAACTTTATTTATTTAAATTTGACCAGAGAGAGACAGAGCGAGAGAGAGCGGAAAAGTGAGAAAGCAAGCCACCAGGTCCGGGACTTGAACCGCAGTTAGCCATGTGGGAGTCCAGCACCCTTAACCACCATGCCACCTGCCGGCCCCATTCCTGGAGCTTTCTTAGGCACGCTTTTCCTGGGCACATTTCCCTTTGGTAAAGAATTGTTCAGCAATGAGTTGCAGAGCTGGCTTAGAGCTCCTTCTTGGGGGTCTTAATCTTGCTTTCATCTGTTAGAAAGAAGAGTGACTTCATGGAAAGCCCAGGAGGTGAGGGCTAAGGACTTAGGGCACAAATAGAATGGCAGGAGCAAGGAGACTCGGCCTCTTCCACAGGCTTAAAAGTGCTGACCAGGCCTCCTTCAACCACTCCCCATTCCTGCACCCCCACCCACACACTCACCAGTCCATATAGACATGGGCAGAGGATAAATAGCCTCCACCCTACATTGGAGCTCACCGGGTGTCACCTGCTCCTGGGGCATTATCTCTGCTCTCCTGGACTCTGCCCTCCTTTCTCCTGGACCTCTGAGTCTGGCAGGCCCTTTCTGGCTCAGCCAACTTCTGGGCTTCTCCTATCCAACGCCCAGCACTTACAGGGTTCATTACACTATGAGCTCATCGAGGGCAGGCAGTATGTCTGGCTTCCCCGGCATCTCCAGCTCCTGGCACCTAGCGTAACACATGCATGATAGAAAACAGGGACTTGAAGGAATGAATCCCTTCCCTGCCTGGTTGATGCCTCCTTGGTGCTGGTCTTTGGTGGCTTCCTCGTTCTAGTATACTGAGAAGCATTTGACACTGCAAGACTATTCCTGACTCATTCACATTAAAGTTTAAATAACTAAATGCTGTCTCTGGAGAAGCCAGAAGCCCAATGAGCCAGATAGTTGAGATGCTCTTACCAAAAAGTGCAGTGA